CACTGCAGTCATTGATCACGTCTTGTATGACACTGTGTGATACTGTAGGACACTGCAGTCATTGATCACGTCCTGTGTGACACTGTATGATACTGCAGGGCACTGCAGTCATTGATCATGTGTCTGGCCTGCCGAGAGGTTTTCCAGGGGCTTGTGGACATACCGCATGTGGATTTGTGCTCTCTCTCCCAGCGGAGCTACAGAGGCCCAACATCTCCATCAGCGGTCCTGTGGGAAGGGTGACCTGGGGGCAGAACTTTTCCATCAGCTGCTCCGCGGTGCCCCAGCTCACAAACGGCACCTTCCGCCTCGTTCTGCCCGACGGAACCAGGACCACATCTCAGCCAGCTGTCAACCACACGGCCATCTTCCCCCGTCTTGCTGCGCGTCTCTCAGACCAGGGGAGCTACAGCTGCCTCTACGAGGTTGTTGGCATTAATCGCACCTTTAACGAATCAAGCAGCCCGTTCAGTGTGATGATAAAAGGTAAGGAAACGATCTGAGGGGATCACAGGTTCCCCGGGGGGTCATGTGCACTGCTGTGTAGCGTCTTGAGGAAGGTCTTCACAAGCACTGCCTGATATTCCTGAAACAACTGCTGTCATTGTAATAATGTCTCTACTTAAAAACTCTACTTCAGGATATGTTAATGTAATGACAATATGTGCAATTGAAAGTATTTATTGTAACTTGACATAGGAAGGAAAATTATGTAAAATCTAGATTATCGCATGAAATATCTGTGAAGCAGATCCAGAACTAAGGAATACAGAGACCTTTTGGTCTCTCCTCTGAACAGCTGTTTCTGTGTTTCCTCTTATTCTAAATCTGTAACTAGTCTCCCACTGATGTTGATAATGTGATCATTTTGCTTCACAAGTGTGTGTTTATTTTGTGTTCTTTTGGCTAGAGATTACTTCATGGAGAAACTGGCAACATCTGCTCAGTTCAGGCCAGATCACACCAGACTATAAACACTAAAAACTGTTATACGTCAACAGTTTGCAGTGTTCTGCTGTGTTCAGTGGGCTGTGATATAATTACGGGCAGTGTTCTGCTGTGTTCAGTGGACTGTGATATAATTACAGGGCAGTGTTCTGCTGTGTTCAGTGGATTGTGACACAATTACAGGACAGTGTTCTGCCGTGTTCAGTGAACTGTGATATAATGACAGAGCAGTGCTCAGGAACAGTATAGACACTCTAGAAGGAATTATTTTAGGTGGGTGAGGATCAACAAAACAGTGATGGGTTTGTGTGTGGTTTGATTGCAGAGTCAGTTCCTCTCATCACTGTTGTGTCAACAGCAGGGGGTGCTGTGTTACTCATCATCCTGTGCATCATCATCTTCATATCCTGTAAAAGGAAGAAGACCAGGGAGAGCCGCAGGAGTGAGCCAGGTGGGAAGCAGGCTGTACAGGGGGGGCCCGAAGGTGGGGCGTGAGCACCTGTAGAGCCGCACTGTGACACTGATCATGAAAAGGGCTCTTACAGGGCCCCATCTGAGCCCACATTTAGAAGACATATCAGATGCTACTGCATCATTACTACTGTAGTTCATTACAGTACATCCTCTACAATTTAATGGAAGTCTGTCTGTTCTATACCTCTGGTAATCATTCAGAACAGCTGATTACTTATCTGGGTTAGGTTAGGGGATTGAGCTTGAGATGCAGTTGTTCTCTCCCCACTTCTGCTTTCTCTGTTGTAACTGATTGCCCTGTCCCGGTAGCATTAGGATGAAGTAGAGCTGCAGTAAATTAGAATTTGATCAGTATTTTATTGGATATGATCCCAGTGCGTGATCCCCCATGTGGGATCAACATAAACAGGTCAGAATTCCACAGGTTTCATTCTGCATCCCGTTGCCCCCTGCCCTCTCTCTCTGCGACCTTCATCACTGTGCCTGTCCTTCCACAGCCAAGATGACAGCGAGTGCCAGCCAGAGGCAAGACGACTTGGACTCCTGCGGGACTGGGCCAGACTACGAGAACCAGACGGCCGAGTACGACAGCGCCAGCTATGTCAACATGGAGTGTGCTGTTGAGAACGACAGCGACGCTGATTACATCAACACTGAGACCTTCGACCCGTCCCGGCCAGGGGCAGGAGACAGTGACAGCCAGCCCGATTACGAGAACTTCTCTCAGGCTGGTGCTGGGCAGGGCACAAGTAGAATGTGAGCAAATCCAGGACCTTCTTCTGTAAAGGGGAGGCTATTTTCACAGTGAGACATCCGAGTTCATCATCTTGTCCCATTGGCTTGTAGTGAAAGTGGGTTTATAGACAGGGGCCTCAGCATTTAGTTCTTGTTTGATCGCTATGGACAATAGCAGATGTCTGCAACAGAAAGAAATATTTTTAAAAAACTGTAACAAGCCGTTGTTCTACTCCTTTAAAAACGACTAAGCACGACAGACTATGCACAGAACAAGCTAACTCTCTAATATCTCACTGAGCCAAGGGCGGAGCATTTCTGATCTCTCTGGATCCTTGTATAAGCTGTTACCTCCACACTGCTCAGTCAGGTTTACTGCAATCATAAACAAGGCTCTTAACTTTGTCTAAGCAAAACAGATATAGGTGACCTCAGTTAATGTGGCACTTTATGGCACACGGACGCAAGGTATTCTGCTGTTACAATAACATACTGCTTTCATCACAGTTGTTTATGAAGAAGGACATGATGCTCAAGCCAGATGCCCAGAATGTGGTAAAACAGGATGTACAGACAGCATGAAGTTTAGTTCAGCAGTGCCTGGAATGGAATTTAATTTGGGTAACAACTAGAATAACCTTGATAACAGATCTGTATTAAAGTTGCTAACTAATGAAGGCATGTTGATACCTAAAAAATAATACTGTTTCCAACTTTTGTGAAAGAGTATTGCACATACAGTACATGCTCGATTAGTGGCACTACTAAGGATGGACCCTCAAAGATCTCCACAGCCTTTGAGATGAAAACCAGCTTCCTCATCACAGGCATTAGGAAGATCACGGAAGAAATGTACAGTATTTGCTCTCATGAGCACTATACAGTAATAATATGGTTATGTGGAAATCAGAATCACATTTTTCTCTTAGATTTTGAATTTCTCCCGTTTCTGAAAAAAGAATTATTAAAAAGGTTTGATTTAAAGATACTATTCCTGTGTTGTATCTGCAGCACAATGTGGTTGGTACGTTTGGCTCTTAGCTGAAGGCATCCCAGAGGTCTATGTCCTGACCAACCAGAAAGCCCCAGACTGCTGCCAAGTATTCAGACCCTCTGTAACACCAACACAGACCAACAAGAGAGAGAAACCTTCCTTCTAAACTAAACAGAACATGACCTGCAGTTAATCTACTTCTCTGTAAACCCAGATGAATTGCAACCTATCTCCCTGTTCTAATTATGCATAAATAACTAACTAGGAGAAGCTGTTTTCATACAGGGATTCTTTAAACAGGAAATCAGAGCAGCAAACTCTCTTAACGAGGTTCAGACACGTAACTGGAGCCTGGTCTTCCTGGGTGATCTGGACGAGGACCTCTAGCCTTCTGCCTTCCTCCACTTTCCTCTCTCTTGTTTCTCCCATTTTCTCCTTCCTGTGTCGCCTGTCTCCTGTGTGTTTTATGCTGTGTCCCTGGACTGTTGATTGACACTTAATCACTTACCCAGAACTTCATGAACCAAGGCAAACCAGACGATTGCTTTGATCAGTGCACCTCACACCCTTCCCAGCACAACACACACTGTACCTGTACATCACACATCCTTCCCTGCTTTGAAGCTCTGAGATCTTCGAATGTTTACCCCAGCCAGGTGTTAACCACTGTATCTAGATACTTAAAGACACTTCAGTGGTCACTTACGATAGCTGTAACAGTATTGAAATGTAAAAAGGTTAAAAATAATCACTAAAGGTATTACTGCAATCTGAGTTTTCACCCCTTATCTATACCCCCAGCAGTTAGAAAATGGATGAAAGAGTGGATGGGGATGGGATGAGTGCCGTCAAGGTGTTGACTCATGGTGACCCTGTGGACAGTTTCCCCCTCCCTATCCATAGTGTTTTCACAGAAAGGCACGAAGAAGATCGCCAGGCCTTTCTTCCACGCAGGTAGTGCTGGTGTTGTTGCTGTTGTCACAGAAAAGATAAGATTTTATCGTCCCCTGAGGGAAATTTTTTATGGACACCCAGCACTCCTGTACATTTAAATAGAATGTAAAAAAAAAAAAGAAGAAAAGAAAAACATTGCACATCACTCTATTGCTCATGTACAGTATAACACATAACAACATGTAACATTTATAACACATCACAAAACATATCGCACTCAAGTGGGTTGAAAGAGTCAAAATTGTGTTTATCCTTGACATTTGCTTTGACAGCTTTAATGGAGAGTGGAACACAGGAATGTCTGTATCTGTTTGACACACATTTAGGAACCCCAAAACATTTGCCAGAAGGAAGAAGTTGATATTCAGAGTTGAGGATGTGGGAAGGATCTGATATCATTTTTCCTGCCTATTTGATCAGGGATTTTTCACAGGTTGTCTGCAGGGAGGGGTGCTGTTTCACTCCCATGACCTTCAAATCCGTCTGGAAGAGGCGGTAATTTGCGATTTTAAATGAACTGATAGATGACCAAACAGCACTGTAATACCATATCTGATAATGCTCTCGATTACAGCACGGTAAAATAGTAGCATTATTTCCCGTCGAACCCCAAACACTCTTAGTCTTCGCAGGAAATATAAGCCCTGCTGAACTTTGGAGCAAACACTCTCAACACGAGTAGTCCAGCACAGTAGTCCAGCACAGGTTACTGTCTATTAGTACTTACACCTAAGTACTAATATGAATCAACGTGGGTGATAAATTCATTGTGGATTACTACATGCATGTGATCACCAACTGCTCTGGGATCAAAAACTATTTCTTTTGTTTTTTTAACATTCAGAATGTTGTTGTCACACACAAAAAGTGATCCTCTGCCACCAACACCACCCCATACTGCATGCTGCCCAGTATAGAAGAGAACCCACTACTGTGAGATTACGAGTCTCATGCTCTATGGAGAGAAACTCAATAATTGGGTTAGATAACACCTACCTTTTCTAAATTCATATTGACTATATCCTAGGACATTATTTCCATTTAAGGGATCCGCTAGTTAGTTCTAACAATTGTTCCTATTATCTTATATGTAAAAGAGGTTAATCATTTTGCTCTACAGTACAGTATGTATTCAATTTCATATTGTGTTTCAAATATGCTTCAAATGTAATACATTCTTCATAAGAAATGAAGAAACTAGGAGGATATTGTAATGATTCTGGAGTACGGTGTGTCTGTCGCTTCTTGGTGTGCAGTGATACCACAGTGCTTTTGACCTCAACTCCTTGCTTGACAGATGGAGAGTAAGATGTGCTACTGTTACCCCAAACAAAACCATGGCAACGCTCGGCTGCCATGGCAACATCCTTTTGATTCCTATTATGTGCTTCATTTTCTGGAGCGGCTAAACACACTGATGCTACTTGGTGCTGCACGTGATGTGATGCCTGTCATGTCTGTCAGAGGTGTCTCGTGAAGGTTCCTCAGGCTCTGCTGTGAACCGCAATCACAACCACATCAGAGAGGTTTCAAACAAGAACCCATAAGACCCCTCCAGTTCTTTTGGCTGCTACTAGCTAATTGATCCATGAATCTCATCCAACCATTTATTGAAAGAAGACAAGAGGTCTTAAACAGCATGGCCTGGTGCCTGGTTCCAGACTGTCACAAACCTTAATGTAAGAAAATATCTCCTTTTCCTGGTTTTTAAATACACTTCCATGCAGTTTTCAGTGGTGTCCTCTGCTTTGTGTTTAATTCAAAGTCAATGGTTCAGCACCTTTGATGATTTTGGATACTTCAAACAGGTCTTCATTTAGTCTTCTCTATTTTATGACCTACTGGTTTATTATTACCAGTTTCAGTTGTGTCACCCTTTCCACAGATGGGGACTCTCTGCCAGTTTTCCAATTATTTCGTATTGACAGGGTGAGACGGCTGGAAGACTTTTGATAAAGGCTTAGGAATAACATCTGCTGTTCTCCCAAGCACAGCTGGTGCTGCACCGCTCCAGCAGGAATAAGAGCGAGACAGCAGACCCGGGCTGTACTTCTCCACTCTCTCCTCAACCCGTTTAATTGCACTCTTGCTCCCTACAACCATGACTGTTGCTGGTCTCCTTGAGACTGTAACTAAAGCAAGTCACGAAGAAGAGGCTTTTAGCATCAAAGCCCCTTCAGCTTTGGAGCTTTCGCAGTGTAATAAAAAGGCTTGGAAAGTCTTTCTCGATGTGAGTGCAGAAGTGTTACACTGAAAGTGCGCAGCAGGTCAGGGCAGAGCCTGCAGGGACACTCCAGAACCTCGCAGAGCCGGAGAAGAGCTCGCAGAGAGAAGACTCTGAGGGTAAGACTCAGGTGTTGTAAATATGAGTGTCCTACTGAGTCTGTATGTCTGTCCTGGGACAGAAGACCATCTCTTGAGTAATCTCTTACTACACCACGCAGGCTGCAGGGATGGTACACACTGAAAAGGCATGGTGTCGCCCATGACAAACCAATGAAAGAAACTGTCTTTCAAGGAAGGTAGTGTCATGAGTGGTATAAAGACCTCTGCAGGTCGGGTAGCGAACATATCCAATAGAGAAAGATGAGTCGGCAGGCAGTGTCGAAATCCAGGAGGCTGAAGAGAGGGTTCGCAAAAGGTTTAGAGGGTGATGAGCTCAGGAAAACAGCAGACTGTTCAATACCAAGTAGTGAAGTGATGGTTGAGGAGGTTTAAATCGAAGGTATGGTGAGGAGCGAGAGACATGATAGGGTGATTCGATCGTGCGCTGTCGTTTTCGGGAATTGGCTCGGGCTGGTGTCTGACTGGCTAAGGTCGTAGGAATACGTCGGCGTTTGTCAGAATTAGGTGACTGATTATGTGTGAGTGTGACAGGTAGGATGAGATTCTGGGATCAGCTAGCTCTTGGGTGCAAATGGAGAAAACTGGACAAAAATGGCACCTCTCATTTGCTGCCTTATGGATGTTGTGTTCTTACCACAGCATGTTTTACACAGCAACAGGCCAAAACAGAAAAACAAACTGATACAGTGAGATACTGGCAACTGCCACATCAATGCAGAGGAAGGGAGTGTGGTCAGACAGTGACAAGCACTTCACTAATTCAGGAGCAGTGCTTTCAATCTGAGCACAAATCTCAGTAACTGCCCAACTACTGTATATACTTGTTCAGAAATGGGTAATAATAACAAAAGTTCTGTAGTATTAAGAAAAAAACAATAAAATGCAATGAATGGAGAGTATTGCCTTTCCAATTTATATTATTTACTATGCTGTCAGACAAAAGAAATAACAAAAGTTTCATGTGTGAAAAGGAAGTGGTGCTTCACCTGCAGTGCATGTCAGTGGCGTTGCCGTGCTGTGTGTGTGTCAGTGGTGTCGATGTGCTGTGTGTGTCAGTGGTGTTGCCGTGCTGTGTGTGT